CAATTTGCAAATTAAACAAAAAAAAAAGGGGGCGTCCTTCCTATCCGACGGCGGGCGCTTCTAGATATACCCTTTCATCGACGCCCGCCGCCGCTCGGCCCCGTGGGCGCGCTCCTTCGTTTCTTGGCATGCTGTGAACAATTCAGTACGCGCGCCACTCTACGGGCTCCTCCTCCCTCGATCGCCTTCATCCGCCGGCCCGAATGAAAACTTCGGCCCGATTCCGGAGTGTAGCGGAACACTACCTCCCCCCGCGGGCCACTCGCGCTTAAGGGGTAGGATTGTTAGCATCGATCTCCGAGCAAGGTGACCACATGAGATGCAGCGCTTGAGTCTGTGTCAGAGTCTCTGCCGCTGGATGCTCGTCGCAGTGGGAGGGGATGTCCAATGTAGATCATCGTGAAGCTGCGCCAAATACACCAACGATTCGCCCGCAATTGGCTCTAGATGATCTACTCCCACCTTTCCGAACAGAATCCCCAGCGGAACACAATACTGATTAATAGGCAAAAGTATTGTGTTCCGCTGGGGAAAAGACAAGCGTTCGTCCAAGCGAGAGGAGAATGTACCCCTTGAGAGTCTGATTGATTTTTTTGCTGATTGACGTCTCTGTAACCCATCTGTCGATGGTAACGGTCCAAATATGGCCCAACCATATATGACTTCAGCACAGTGGCAGGCCTTGCTGCGTGTAGCAAATGACGCAAAAAAAACAGTTTTGCATGCACTTTATGAGGGTGTTTTGAAAAGGGAATAGCAGGCGGAGGAGGAAAGAAAGAAGACATTGTTAACCAATCATATGTCCATCTTGGAAACCGTTCTCTCACTGAGCAAAGAACAGTGTGGGGAACCACTGTATTCCATCCTCACCATTATCGTTCAAGTCAGGAACCTTGAGGATCATACCACTTAGATCTCCCAAACTTTTGCACAACTGCGAAGACTGTGGGAATATCTGACTGATATGACCCGCAAGTATCGTGACTTGGCGGCAGAGGTGACTGAGCTGCAACAAGCCCAA